TACAAAGTGCTTTGATTCTCCTCTGAGAGCTCTAAGAGGGTGGGTGGTAGAGAAATCCTTTCACAGGTGGACATCCTTTCAAAGAAAACATCTTCATTTTCTTGCTTGGAAAAGGGGCTCGTCAAATCTCATTTTCCTGCCAGAGACTTTTTCTTATGTGCAGTAACATCTCCCTCTTCTGGAACTTGGAGATTTTGCTACAATATTTATTAAGAATACATAAAAATTGAATTTGGGATGCATTTTACATCCAAACAGTGGTTCTTAAACTTTCACGTAAGAATCTTCCGAGGTGGTGTTTTTTCTTTTAAATGGAGATTTTTATACCCTGTGCCCATCTCCTAAGATTTAAAATAAGTAAGTCTAAAGTGGGGCCCAGATCTACATTTAAAGCCCCCTCAACCCTCATCCCCACCTGTCCCAGTGAGCCTGGTACACGTGGACGCCCCAGGAGAATTTCACTGAATTCTAAATGAAGCCGGCTGGGTCGTGGGGAAATAAAGGTGTGGGCATCAAAGTTCTCCCTCTAAGAAGATTAAACAGGAAAAGGGGGCAGATTTTCAAGCTCAACAAATCTTTATCTTTTTTTTTCCGATTTATTGAGGTGTAATTGGTATATTGAGAAACCATACATAATTAATGCATACAATTTGATGAGTTTGGACATACACTTACACCAGTGAAACCATCACCACAATCAAGGTAATAAACATATTCATCACCTCAAACGTTTGTTTATGTCCCTTTGGTTTTTGTGTTTGTTTGCTTGTTTTTGGTTTGGTTGAATTTTTTGCTTTTTTGTGGTAAGAACACTTAACATGAGATCTACCCTTTTAACAAATTTTTAAATGCACAATACACTTATTAACTATAGGCAATATGAGCTCTAGAACTTACTTGTCTTGCATAACTGAAACTAGGCCAACTTCCCATTTCCTCCTCCCCGCAGGCCTTGGTAAACTTCAGTTTCTTATTTGCTTCTGTGAGTTTGATTATTTTAAATACTTCGTAAAAACACGAGGTATCTGTCCTTCTCTGTCTGGTTTGTGTAACTTAGCATAATGACCTCCAGGCACACTCAAGTTGTCACAAATGGCAGGGATGCCTTCCCTTTTAAAGTTGAATAATATTCCATTGTACGTATATAGTACATTTTCTTTATCCATTTATCCGATGGATATTTGAGTAATTTCCATACCTTGGCTATTGTGAATAATGCTGCAGTGAACATATGAGGGAAAATATTTCTTTGAAATTCTAATTTCAGTTCTTTTGGAAATATGCCCAGAAGTGAGGTTGGTAAATCATATGGTAGTTCCATTTTTAATTTTTTTGAGGAAGTTTCCACACTGTTTTCCATAATGACCACATTCCCACCAACAGTGAAAATGAGTTCCAGTTCCTCTGCCTACTCACCAACACTTGTTATCTCTTTTTGATAACAGCCATTCTAATTGATGTGAGCTGGTATCTCATCGTGGTTTTGATTTGAATTTCCCTGCCGATTAGTGATGTTGACCAACTTTTCATTTATCTGTTGGTCATTAGTATGTCTCCTTTGGAGAACTGTCTATTCAAATCCTTCGACCCTTTTTTAATCAGGTTATTTAGGGCCTTTGCTATTTAGTGTAGGAGTTTCTTATATATTTTGAATATTAACTCTTCATCAGATATGTGGTTTGCAAATATTTTCTCTCATTCCATAGGCTGACTTTTCACTGTTATTTCTTTGCTATACAGAAGCTTTTTAGTTCGCTGTAGTACCACTTGTCTATTTTTGCTTTTGTTGCCTGTACTTTTGGTATCATAGCCAAGAAATCACTGCCAAGACCAATGTCAAGAAGCTTTTCCCTTATGTTTTCTTCTAGGAGATTACAGTTTCAGGTCTTAATGTTCAAGTCTTTAATCTATTTTCAGTTGATTTTTATGTATGAATATCTTCTCGAAGGCAGATAGAAAAAAAGGGAAGGAAGAGAGATGGAAAATCATAACAGGAATAATCATAATAATTGTATTAGTTCCCTTTGGCTGCTGTAACAAATTGAATGGTTTAAAACAACAGAAATTGATTGCCATGCAGTCCTGGAAGTCATAAAGCACAGGGAGTATTTGGGGAGCTGAAAGTGCTAGGGTCACAGGGGGAAGAAGAGGCTGGACCATACAGGGTTTGGTGAAGAGCCACTATTTTTTCCAGGTCAGGGGCTCCAGCTGTCAGAGGGATGGTCAGTATTGCCTCAGTCAGTACAGCCTCTGTGGAAACACCAAACACCCGAACTCTGACCCCTTCTTCTCATCTTCCCAAAAGTTTTTCACAATTCATGTGAGAGTAATGTGACGATTACCATGTGGGTAACTTCAAAGCCAGTGTTTTTGTGAGGCTACAGTGCACGGATATTAAGTGTACAATTCTGTGGGGTTTACAGAGATAGACATCTGTGTAATCCACTCAGAAAAAAGTACAGAACTTTCCCAACACCCAGAAGATGCCCTTCCCAGTGAGTGCACGCACTCCTTCACAGGTGTAACCACTGTTCTGACTTTTGTTGCTGTAGATTAGTTTTCCCTGACCTTTCATTTGATATAAATGGAAGATACAATATACAGTCATTGTTTCTAGTTTTCTCTACTCATTATGTTTATGAGATTCCTCCATACTGTCATGTGTATCAATTAACTCGTTCTTTTTTTCAATGCCGAGTAGTATTCCATTGTATGAATATACCACAATTTCTTCAGCATTCTCCTGTTGGTGTGGACATTCAGGCTGTTTACAGTTTGTGCTATTATAACATATATATGTCTAATTTTAAAATTTCTAATTAAAAAAAATCAAATTTCTAGTTAAAAAATTTTAAGTCACCTGCAAACAGCCATATTTTAACTTTTAAGACTAACAAGTTATTTGAGACATAACTCACAACTGCTCCAAACCCAAAATGCTTTTGCCTCAAACCACTCCTGAAAAATCTGTTTGGGGTGACAGGGGGTGTTGACAAGCTTTGAGCAGGAGAGTGAGTTAGTAGTTTAGAATTTCAGAACAATACCTCTGGTGGCCAAACACCACCATTTATGTGACTGTACTGTTGCCTTTTTTTTAAGACAGCCCGGTGCTTGGCAGTTGAAAACACAGAGGGCGTAATCAAGAAAAGAGAATGCCCACTATCGTTTGTTTGCTTGGTTTGCTTTTTACTCCTGCCATTTCTCATTCCATTTGGGAAAAGCCTTCCACTCAAGGAGCAGATCTGTTTCTCTTTGCCCCGTATCTGTCAGAAATGATAGCAATTCAGGTGACTAATGTCCTGTCCCATGGGGACAGCCGTTTCCCTCCATCTCCAAAGCCAGGCTCTGAGGAGAACACAGGGCAGAGAGCTCTCGCTCCCTGCAGCCTGTGCAAATGACTTGGGAATCCTCCACCTGTCGCTGCTTCCAGGGAAGAAAAGACATGCAGGACAATGTTGGTTTAACTAAAGAAATCCAACTTAGAAGGGTAGGCAAGGAGTTGGCTTAGGCTCAGAGGGTGACAGAATATGTAATGGGAAATTTTGGAGGATGTCACTAAGGTCATTTCTACAGCCCCTCCCACTGCCTTCAGAAGGAACTGCCAGAGCTCAGCTCCTCTGGCCGTCGCTGGTTGGGTCAGAGCTACACTACTTCAGAATCCGGAAACGGTTCAGAGATGTTTCTCAGCCTCTGCTGGTCCCTCTCTCTCAGGACATGTGAACTGGGAGATATGAGAAGACCAAGTGCTGCTGTTCACCCAACAGATACCAGGGCCAGGTACAGCTGCAGCCCCTGCGGTAGGGTGGAGAGCAAGGCACGTGGGGTCCCTGCCTTCGTGGGACTTACAGCTTAGTGGGGAGGAAGGAAACACAAATTAAAAAATAAGTCAATAAAATAATGTTATATTTGTGATAGATGCGATGGTGAAAATAAAAGGCTTTGACCGAAGAAAGAAGGACCCAGCAAGTGGTAAGGGTAAGGGATGGTTTGAGCAAGGATCAACCACTCTCTCGAGGTCACGATGTGGCGGAGCCAGCCAGCTGAAGAACGAGGCGAACACATGTTCCAGGCAGCGAGAACAGTGTGTGCAGGTGCCCAGAGGTGGTAAAGAGCCTGGCACACTAGAGGGACTGAGAGATGCCAAGTGTGACTGGGACCTCAGAGCAGCAGGCGTGGCAGGGGATGAGATGGTGCAACTAGACAGGGGTTGGGACACGGAGAGTCATGTGGGCCATTGCGTGGAGTGGAATTTATATTTTGAATGCAGTGTGTAACTCTCAGCTAGTGATAAGCGGGGGAAGGATTATGTGCCTCATGGAGAGCTGGGAGAACCAAGCCATGTTTATGGCTCAGTTCAAGGTGCCTCTGAGAGGGTGTGGTTAGGGAATGGTCATAGCTCTTTTATTATTTCGATGTCATCTATGGTTATTCAGGTTTTCTACTTCTTCTTGAGTAAATTTTTTTTTTTTACTTTGCATAAGATACGTAAGAGATATACAGAGAAGTGAACCTATCATGATGAGTTTTTAGTAAATGAACACACCCCTGTAACCAGCATCCAGATCAAGAAACTCCCCACGCATCTTATCTCCCACCCCTGAGTAACCCCCAACCTGACTTCTAACAGCAGAGGTTGATTTTGACAATTTTAAATAATGGAATCGCACAGCATGAACTCTTTTGTGTCTGGCTTCTTTCACTTTATACTATATGTAGATTCATCCATATTGTTGCATGAGGTCAAGATTGCTCATTCTCACTGCTGTGGATGTCCACCGTATGATATTCCACGTTTTATTTATCCATTCTACTGTTGATGGTGGACAGACTCTAAGGTGGCACCTGTGATGCCCACCTCCTGGTAATCATGCCTCTGTGTAGTCCCTTCTGTGATAGTGGGCAGGGTGTGTGATGATTCCAGCCAGCAGAATGCAGCAAGGGTGTGGAATTTACTTTCATGATTATGTTACATATGATTACATCCTCTATCTTGCCAGTAGACTTTCTCCCTTGCTGGCTTTGAGGAGACCCATGTGGCAAGGAACTGAGGACAGCCTCCAGCTGACATCCAGCAAGAAACTGGGGCCCTGAGTGTTACAGCCACAGAGGTCTAAATTCTGCCAAGAGCCGCACCAGCTGGGAAATGGACCCTTCCCTAGGCGAGCCTCGGAATGCACCCGCTGCCCAGCAGACTTCTGGGTTGCAGCTTTTTGAGATTCTGAAACAAAGTCCATGCCCAAGGTCCTGAATCTCAGAAACTAAGATTAAAAATGTGTGTTGTTTTAAGCCACTAATTTTGTGACAATTTTTTATGCAGCAATAAAAATAAATAAATAAATAAAATTAAAAACTGATATAATGGACATTTGAGTCATTTCCAGTTCTGAGTTTTACGTCTTTTGGTGAACTTCATGTCTTTTGGTGAACACGTGTAAGCATTTCTGTTTGGTATCTACCTGGGAGGGAACGGCTGGGCCATGTGGAGTGCATATATTCAGCTTTAGTAGATCTGCCAACAGCTTTACCAACCAAGTTATATTTACCTTGGTAAAGACGGGATTCAAACCCAGGTATCCCAGCTCAAAAATCTTTGCGTCCTCAGTGATTATATTTACTTCGTAGGCTATATAATAAGTGCCCTTACAACAAGAAAACAGATGCTTCTTAATCATTTTAAATTAGCAAAGCTTCCATGCGTAAAGTAGTTTAAGGCAATAAAACGCTCTCGTATACATCTCTCATTGAATTCCCACAACAGTCCATTAAGAGAGGGGCTCTTATTGTTATCCCACTCACAGATGAGAAAACTGAGCCCAGCAAAGACGAGGGTTTTCCCTGAGGCCAGGCAACCCACGAGCGTCAGGCCACAGGTTAGTTCTCCCTACTCCTGGGCCCATGCCTCTTTCTTTTTCCTTTCTCTTCTTTTTTCTTTCTTTTTTTCTCTTCCTTTTTAAAGATATCATAGCCTGTGTCAGGATTTGGGGTGAGCCAAGGAGATGCAAGGACTTTTCTTTCCTTCCTAACAATTGTGTATATCTTTATAGCTATGTAGACATTGGTCAGGAGCCAAAACCTTGTGAAAATTGTTTCTGCTTATTTGACATTGGTGGTTTCATAATTTTGAGGTTCATAGCTCATAATTTTAATCCCAGGTCTCAGAAGCACCTTCTGTTTCTCCAATCAACAAATATTTGGAGGGTATTTTAGAATGGATCCTCATCAGAATTTAATTATAAAGTGATTTCAATCGCTACGCATTTGTTTCTAGGCAGCTCAGAACTAGTCCCTATTTATAAACTTGTTGAATGTACAAAGCAGTAACAAATATCTATTGAACACCTATTATGTGCCAAGCTCTCAAGCAGCAAAGATGCTTTAGTATTATGAAGATGACAGTCCCCAGACTCACATACCTCTGTCCACAGGGTAGCTGAACCACTTAACTATTGCTGAGTAACAAGTCAGCCCAAAACTCTGTGACTTGAAACAACCAACAACAATTTGCCACTCACATTCTCAGTGGGTCAGAAATTTGGGCAGTTCTGGCTTAGGGTCTCTCATGTGGTTTCAGTCGAGTGATGGCTAGAACTGCAACAGCAGGAGATTGGAATAAGGGGTGGCTGACTAGGCATCTGTCTATCCCTCTGCCCCTCTGTCTCTCTCTCTGTCTCTCTCGCTCTCTCTCGCCGCTCCCTCCCTCTCCCCCACCTCCTCTTTTGTATAGTCTCAGGGCCTTTCCATGTGGGCTAGTAATTTGGGCTTCCTCACAACATGGTGGCCTCGGGGGTGTTGACTTACTTACATGACAGCTGGAGGCTTCAAGAGCAAATAGTCCCATGAAAATGTGGAAACTGCCTCACTTTTTATGCCCCAGCCTCAGAAGTCATACAGCGAGTGATGCTTCCACCACATTCTGTTGGTTATAAGACAGCAATAGGCTGTGTCAGATGAGTCCCTGGGAAGCAGATACTGAGGCAGAGTTAGGAGCACAAGAGGTTTATTGGGGGTAATGCTGAGAGAGAACAGGGGGAGGAAGCAGGATGGGGCGGGAAAAGCCTTCAGACCACAGTGGGGCTCTGACACCTTTGAAGGGGAAGGAGAGGGTGCGGGAGGGGTCAGGGAGAGCCTCAGATGGCAGTGCAGATTGGACAGTCATGGCCAACTCAACCTCACGTTCTGGGGCAATGATTGTGTGGTAGAGGATACCCATGTTGGACAGAAATGGCCAGGCCTTGTACTCCTGCCCTGCTGGGTTATTCGGGGGAGGGAGGGAGGAGCTGCCCAGGAAGGGCGTGGCCTTGGCTTGAGAGCTGAGGTGCATGCTGCAGATGATAACAGTTGCAGGCAGCTGCTAACTGCAAGTTCTTTTTTGAAAGGAGATCCGAGCAACAGACTCGCTGGCTGCTACACAAGCCCATTCAGATTCAAGAAAAAGAGAATTAGGCTTTGCCCCTTGACAGAGTATCATTATGATTCTACAAACATGGGAGAGAAGAATCATTTTTGCAGCTGTGTTCAGGACATACAGCCCACTGCAGCCCACGAAGCATATCACACACATAGGAAAGTGGTATGATGTAGGGGTGAACATCTTATGCCTTGAAATCTGCCCAAAATGGGCTCGAATCTTGGCACTTCGTAGACTAACTCTGTGACCTTGGGCAAATTACATAACCTGTCTGAGCCTCAGTTTTCTCATCTATAAAGTGGGGGGATAATAAAGCGCCTCTTTCGTGGGTTTATCTGAGAATTGAGTGAGATCAAACACATGAAAGGCTTAGCACTTTTCCCAGCATGTAGTCAGTGCTCAGAAGATAACAAATATCATCATTAGTATTACCGAGTGGCAAGAAAATCCTAACAGCCTCAGGCCACTTAGTCTAAGGAGTCAGCAAAGTCCTTATGTGTCGCAGAAGCCCCCAGGAACATGATGGAAATGCCATAAAAAGTGAATTTATCCTCAACAAAGTGTTTCACAATAACTTGGGTCTCGGTGAGAGCACCGAGTTATCAGGAAGAGATTGAATTACGTTTAATATAGTTATCACGGCAGAAAACGTGAGCTGTTTCCCAACACCAGAAGTGATGACTTGGGCACTTCGCACTCTCTGGAAGCCGAAGTACACTTTATTCGTCTTTGTCACCTCAGGGCCCAGAGCTGGCACAGAGTAGACGCTCTCCAAATGTTCATGGCATTGAATCACATCTAATAAAGGATAAAACGTAGCTTTCTGGAGGAGGCACAAATTGTGAAGCTAGATAAATATAGATTCTTTTTTTCCATCCAAAATGGAAATGGGGAAAATATGGCTTATTCTTATTATTAAAAGTCACACATGCTCGCTGTAATAAAAACCAGGCAACTCAAAAATATGTCTAAAAGGTAGCTTGTTAAAAAAAGAAATACCATCACCCAGAAATAATTACTATTAACATTTTGGTGAGCTTTTTTCCAGAATGCTTTTTTAAAAAAAAAATAAAAACAATCATGATATAATAGTGTTTTGGACCTGAATATTTTTCCCATGGTAATGAATACTCACCCGATGAGCGAGGGCTGCCGTATGCTCCCATAGGGAATTACAGCTGGGAAACAGGAACAGAGAGGGGACTCTGAGAAGCCGCGCTTCTCTCTCCCTTTGCACGCCCACCACTGTGTAAGCCATACAAGGCTTTTGCAGGACTGGCTGAAGCTCCAGTTGCCCACCCTCTGTCCTTGAAAATGCCTGGTCCTCTGGTCCCAGGCCCACCCCTGTACCGCTCAGCCCTTCCCTCTGGGTTCTTGTCAGCATCTGGTTCTCGCAGGTTATCTTCTTGCCTCTCCACGACCACCAGCATCACAGGCTCTAGTCCCCTCCTCAGCTGAAGGGTAGGTTCAGCTGGGCTCCTCCTGCCGCTGTCTCAGGCAAGCAGAAGGACTAACACTCTCTGAGACACTTGAGCACTGTGCCAAGTACTTTGCACACAGTATCCCAATCAGTTTCCACAACTGCTATATGAAAGGGTGCTGTCACCGCTGCACCCATTTTACCAATGAGGAAATTGAGGCTGGAGAGGTCGTAGCTTGCCTACTGTAACAGTAAGCAAGTGATGGCTTTAGGATTTGAAAACCGGAACTAAGACTCATTGCCCCTCTCTTTTAACCACTTAATTACCATCCTGCATTGTAGAACCAGGTAGGGGCAAGAAATGGAAATACATTTATTGAGTACTTTTTCATACTTTTCCTCCTGTCATGAGATTCCAGCTCTTTAATGTAGGGTCGTGTTGTTTCATTTCCGGTGAGGAAACAAAAGCTCAGAGAGGTTATGTAACTTGCCTGGAGTCTCCTAGTCATTAAGCCACAGAACCATCATCTCGACCCTCACCTGCCTGATGCAGAAGCTTGCTTGCTCTACAGTGACACAAGCCTGCTCCTCTCAACACAGCTGCCCCCGCGGTTATGCCCCATCACATATCTAGAAGGGCCCCGGTATTCCCAGAAAGAAACTGACCTTTGGAGTAGCCAATCACAAGCGTGACAGTGTGTTATGTGGATTCTGGAGTCAGATAGCCTGTGCAACTTTAAGCAGTTATTTAACTTTTCTGTGCCTCAGTTTGCCTTACCAATAAAAATGCAAAACAAAATAGTACCTACCTCCCAGAACTGTTGTAAGGGTTAAATGAATGAGTTGATGTAAAATGCATAGGACAACGTCTGGCACCTAGCATGTTCAATATCAAGCATTAGCTTATTCTTACTATTAACGGGAGTCAGAGGTTGATACAAAACATATTTTTTCATTGTGTTTCCTTTTGGAGTAAATAAAGCAAACCTTGGAAAGTATATAAGTTTCCTCTTGCTGCTGTAACAAATGACCACAAATTTAGCGGCTTAAAACAACACAGACTTATTCTCTTACAGTCTGGAGGTCAGAAGCCCACCTGAGTCTCACTGGGCTAAAATCAGTGCCGACAGGGATAACTCCTTCTGGAGGCTGCAGGGGAGACTGTTTCCTTGCCTTTTTCAGCATCTGGAGGCCACCTGCCTTCCTTGGCCTGAAGCCCTTTCCTCCATCTTTCTCAGCCACACAGCCATCTTCAAGTCTCTCTCTGATTCTGACTTTCAGCCTCCCTCTCCACACAGATAACTCAGGGTGTTGTCCCATCTCAAGGTTAGCTGATTGGCAACCTTAATTCTATCTGCAACCTTAACTCTTCTTTGCCATGTGACCTGACATAGCCACAGGTTCCAGGGATTAAGACATGGACATATTGGGGGGACATCGTT